GGCCAGAGTCATTGTCATGAACATTCCTCTATTGTCTCATGGCTGCTGCTTCAGCTAGGTGAGGCTGGGTGGGGGAAGGGAATGTTGCCTGCGTGCAAGGAAGGAAACTCCGCATGGAGTTTGAATCCTTTGTTTTTAGGTCTTCTGCCTTGGCATGGCATCTGTCTGGCTTTCAGTGCTTCATGTGACTAGGGAGCTGGTCCATCTTACAGCAGGTAAGAGGGTAGGTAACCTCTGGAACCATAGGCACATCATCTCACAGGAAGGCTTCTTTCTTCTGGGTGTGTGTCTGTAACTGGCATCATTTTTGGATCACCACACAATTCAGTCCCTTTTGCACACTACTTGCATAGTCCAAGTTTTATCACTTATGAAACTATAAGTCCATAAGACTTATGATACTATAAGTCCATAAGAGCGCTATAAGCGCCTTGCAGGGCAACACTGGATATTTGTTTCTCCCAATTGCTCTAAGTGCAGCTGTCACTTCACATTCTAAAACTGTCGGTTCTCCTTTAAAAGAGTCTTCTTGGAAGGAATCTGTCATTCTTTCATCTCTACTGTATAGTTCTTCACTGTACTGTTTCCATCTTGTATTTATTTTGTCCTGTTTAGTTAGTGTATTCCTGTGTTGATCTTTCAGCATGCCTAACTGTACTTTAAACTTCCTTTTGATTTCTTAGATTTTGTGGAATAAATCTCTTGTTCTTCATTTTTGTGTTCTCTCCTATTTCTTTATACTGGATATTATAATAGTTCTCTTTCTCTCCACATGTAAGTTGCTGGAACACTGCATTTAGATATTTGATTCTATTTCTCATCTTTTACTTTTGCTTCTCATCTATCTTTAGCAATTTTAAGAGTTTCATCAGTCACCTATGGAAGCTTTTCATATCTTTTGGCGACAGGAACATTCTTTGTGTATTCTTCCTTGATAATAACTCTGGTTTCAATGTTATATGAGTGTTTAACTAATTTTTTAAAGACTAATAGCACCTTAAAGCACAAAATAGCACAAAATTTTTCTGGGTATAAGCTTTTGTGAAAACCTTGCTACTCTTTAAGGTGCTATTGGATTACCACGGATTAAAATGGCTGACCCACCTGAAGCTTGAAATAACAATGGTGCTTATTTAGCTCAGTAACTTTTGCTGTTGGCAGCCATTTCAACAGCAGATGCAAAACGATTGCTCTTGCAATTGGGGAAAAAGCAGACAAACCTGTTTTTCAAGAAAGCAAAAAAACAGAAAGAAGGTTCAAGCTGGCTTCACCTCAGGAAGATACAGCAGACAACCAGCAGGTGCCTATAAAGCAGATTAAAAGCAATACTTTTGCCCTTCAGATTTAAATCAGGTGTTTTTTTTGCTCCCCAATGGGGAATTTTTAATTGTATTTTTTATTAAAACTACAAACTATAACAGAAATAAGGGAGGGGACTACATTTAAGGGGATAAAGAAAAGATACCCACTACTGACTAAAAACCCAAGAGAGGAGATCTTCTAATCAGCTTGAATACACATCTAGTCTTAATCATATTAATCTCATTACAAACTGAGTCACATATTCTGTTAACTTTTCCCGCATCTTAAATACAGGTGGCGCATGGAGTCTGCCAAAGTCTTTGCCAGCTCGTTGGATCCTTCCAGTTTTGGGCTCTCAGTTACTTTTGATTTCAAATGCTTCTCTTTCTCCGTCCTCTTCCCCGCCATCTTTTTCACTTTACTTTCGCAAACTTTTTGAAAGTCTCTGAATATGCACTTAAACGCCCGCACTTGCCTTGGTGTAAGTACTCCTTACCAGTTTTAACCATTTATGCTTCTGCTCCCCCCCTCAATCGCTCTAAAGTCTATGCATTTGGGAGGCATCCCTCCCCCGCTCGCCTTATCTTCTGTTCCGTGGGGTGGGAGTGGGGAGCTTCTTTTCTTTTTAATCAATGCTTAAATGACTAATGTTCATAATCGGTCCACGGACCTCGTTTACACTCCATTTCTAACGCTTGATCTCCTGTGCTTGCCCCGGTCAGCGTCACTTAGTCCATTCGGTCTCTCAGCACAAAGAACTATCAGAGCGGAGGGTGCCTCAATTCTCCGGCATTGCGCCGTCGAAGAGGCAACCTCTCAGAAGCTCCATGGCCAGGGTCTCTTCAGCCGGGTCCCTGGGGGAGTAGTGAGCCTGCACACCCCCTCCTTCGGCTGGAGCGCAGCTTCACCCCCAGGAGGTCCGGGAGGTGAGTCTGCTCTAGCGCGCCACCATCACCGGAACCAGATTTCAAGCAGGTATTGATGAAAATTATATCTGAGGAGCTGAGTATCGACAAAAAGTCTTGAATCAGTAACAAAAAAATCCTCATCTTGTACTTTTAGACTTCTGAATCTTGTAGGTTTTTGAATCCTGAAGCTTTACAGATTATGAAGAAATTGCAATTGTCTGATCCCACTTTCATTCTTTATACTAGCTTCTGAGGGAGCTTCACACATTCCCAAATGGGCCCTTCAGTTCCATCATTACAAGGAACCATATTTTGGTTACAAAATTGGTCATTTTATGTAGGAGTCAATACTGCTTCCAGCAAATAGCTGTTGCATTATTTCTTGGTGAGCTCAGAGCTGTGAACACAGAAGATTCTATATACACAGCTGCCTTGCCTTAAAATGAGCCAATTGCCCCAGATGCAATATTGTGCTCAGTGTAGCTCATCCAGTAGCTTAGTTCAATCACTCAAACTGTCAAGTAATAAAGGGGGGAAGCCTACATGAAGATAATACAAATGTTCTCAAAATGGTGTCCAGGAGTTATTAAGACTCTTAGCCTCCTTTTAGAATGATAAATAAAAATGTTACGCCCATTAGATTTGACTTTACAACAAACCATATAAACAGAGCATCCCTTTTTCTCAAAATAGGCCCCTCATTTTGACTCAGTAGTAATCACATCTGTGAATCCAGCTGCTGTTGCATCCCCCCTCAAGTTCTCTCCCCTCTCCAAATTCTGTCCTCCCCAGGCTCCTCCCCCAAATCTCCAGGAATTTCCCAAGTTGGAGTTGACAACCTTGCCCTTCAGACATGCAGGAGCCTGCTTTTAGCTGACTGTGTCAACAGAAGCTTGAGAGGTACCTTCCCACATTCTACTAAGGAGGATATGTCAAAACTCCATAAAATTCAAATATATGAATGCAGACACTCACACACACACCATCACCAGGGATGAATCATACTTCACACAACAGTGAGCACAGGGAACACAATTTACTCTTTTTTATTATACTCCCAATTCAAAGAAATCTAAATAAACAATTTCAGACAGGACTCTTCTGTTTCTCATTTTAACTGACAGGTTGTCTTCAGGGGAAATGAAAACATTTTAAAAGATTGCTCAATATTTATGATTATTTTAAACTGAAAGATGATATTCAGGAAAATGCAGTTGTAACCGAATACTCTTGTAAACAAACACTTTATCTCAAGGGATCTGAGTGAGAAAACATAAATGCATCTACTATTAAATTCTTTATTCTAGCTCTTTTCGAAATATATTCTTGCTCTGTAAAAGCTCAATCAACCAACGTTTTGCCTTTTATGTTTTTAAAGAATTTTTATACTCCCCTTCCTCAATGTCCAGTGTTAGAAAAAGGCAGAACAATTGTATTGGAGTTGGGCCACAAAGAGTTGGGTTCAAACCCCTTCTGAGCCATTAGATATGCAAGGAGTCTTGAGTATGTCACCATCCCTCAGCCATTTACCCACACAGAATATTTGTGACGATAAAATGTGTACACATGAGCAGATGACCACTTGTCCATCAAGGTCAGTATTGTCTAGTCAGACTAGCAGTGGCTCTTCAGTGTGTTTTGGAGAGATCTTTCAAATTACATATTACCTGATCCCTTGACTGGAGAGACCATGGATTGAACCTAGGACCTTCTTCATGCCAAGTAGATGGTCTACCACTAAGCCATGCCCCCCCCCCCGGAGGAACGATAACATAAAAATGACATGCATCCATACAGTGGGTTGGAACCACTGCTCCATCAAAGGAAGGCTTTGATGGTCACATATCTTTTCTGTATTCCCTTCCTCCCAGCAGTCTCATCCAAATCTAGGATATGTGATTCTTATGGCCACAGGACTCACGGAGGACTAACAGCACACTCAGGTTAAAAGGTATACTGTGGAGAGAACCCACAGAAGAGGGTAAAGGTAAAGGTTCCCTTGCTCGAAAGCCAGTCGAATCCGACTCTAGGGTTGCGGTGCTCATCTCTGTTTCAAAGCTGAAGAGCCAGCGCTGTCCGAAGACATTTTCCGTGGTCATGTGGCCAGCATGACAAAACACCAAGGTGCACGGAACGCTGTTACCTTCCCACTGAAGTGGTACCTATTTATCTACTTGCAATTTCTTGCTTTCGAACTGCTAGGTTGGCAGGAGCTGGAACTAGAGACAGGAGCTCACTCTGTCATGCGGCACACTCGGGTCTCGAACTGCTGAACTACCGACCTTCCACAGCCTGCAGTTCAGTGTCTTAACCACTTGAGCCACCGCAGAAGAGGGAGGAAAGGATAAAACTGCCCCTTCACCTCCTCTGTGCACCTCCCCACCCTGCATGGCTACTGAACCTACAATCCCAGGAAGCAAATTTTCCAGGATCAGAAATGACTGCTGATGGGCAGAGTATATGAGAAAGATCCATGGCCCTTGTGCCCATGGATTGCCAGACTATAAAGTAAAGGTAAAGGTTCCCTTGCTCGAAAGCCAGTCGAATCCGACTCTAGGGTTGCGGTGCTCATCTCCCTTTCAAAGCCTAAGAGCCAGCGCTGTCCGAAGACGTTTCCGTGGTCATGTGGCCGGCATGACTAAACACCAAGGTGCACAGAATGCTGTTACCTTCCCACCAAAGTGGTACCTATTTATCTACTTGCAATTTCTTGCTTTCGAACTGCTAGGTTGGCAGACTATAGCAGG